AATGCGCGTCCTCTATGGATGTTGCTTTATAATTTTAATGAACGCACGCGTTTGGGGGGGGGGGGAAATGAAATCCCCAAAAATATTTTAAAACCCCGCTTCTCACTCTCTCCTTCTCCTTTTCTCTGCAAACCCTAATCTGCCTCCACCACTACTTTATCCTTAAGGAATAACACAACCAAGCTGGTATCTCAGATCAACTACTCCGGCATGAAATCCCCAAAAAAATTAAAACCCCGCTTCTCACTCTCTCCTTCTCCTTTTCTCTGCAAACCCTAATCTGCCTCCACCACTACTTTATCCTTAAGGAATAATACAACCAAGCTGGTATCTCAGATCAACTACTCAGCATGGAGTTAACCCCAACGTGTATAGTTGTTGCGGAAGATGGAGAAGGTCGAGAAGAAGATATTGAGGTTCTTACGGAGCCCTCTTCGGCCTCAAGTCCTCGCTGACATGCATCATGTGAGATTCGAGACCACCGAGTGGTTTGATCGACTTGAGGGCTCCGCTCGGAGGCTGAAGTAGCGGATCGGGTCCATGAAAATCGGAGGAGGCGGTGAAGGATGGTGATTGGAGGAGGCGATGAATAAGATGAACGAGGAGTAATGTGAGGGTGGTTTGGAAAGGTTGGAATGAGCTGGGGAAGAGGAAAGTTAAAGTTATGCTTTGCTCCTAACTTCATTTTCCGTTTTTTTTGCTGCCTCTAAAGTGTTCGACGAAATGCTTATATTAAATTTATGCTTCGCTCCTGAAGAATGATGATAATCCAACATCAACTGCTCCAAGAACTTTTATCAATCAATTGCCTGATTGGAGCATGCTACTTGCTGCTATCACAACCATTTTCTTGGCTGCTGAGAAGCAATGGATGATGCTAGATTGGAAAACTAAACGTCCTGACATGCTTTCGGATCTTGATCCTTTTGGTTTAGGTAGAATGGTTGAAGATGGGTTTGTTTTTCGTCAAAACTTTACATAGCATTCATATGAAATTATTCCATTCCTACATGACCATGGAATGTAATTACTATTCCTGATTCCATTCCATCCAAGCAAACACTGGCTTATATATTGATGTTAAGTTTGTGATCCTTCTTCCTGTTATGTAAATGTTATCCAATGAAAGAAGGAGTGAAAATTTTGTAATTTGATATACAGAAATACTCCATGATTTTTAACTTCTCTTGCTAATTCTGTGTGATAGATATAGGTTGGTGTATCTGTTGTGGATCGATTCACATTTTATACATTAGCTTTCTTTGAGAGGCTCAATATGTATGACAATGCATCATTAATCATGTATAAAAAATGTTGCATTTTGAAAAATCTATTAAAGTTTTCTTGGCCTATTTTACTTCATTTTTCTTTGCTGTTTTGCAGTCTGTTTGGTTTATTTAATCCTAATCTACTGCTGTCAACTGCATATTATCGAACAGATTTATACCAACAAGAATTGGAGAAGGTATGCCATTTTTCATCACATCTCACCCTTTTTGAAAAGGGAATTTCTGTTTTTTAAGGTGTAGGCATTCATACCACTTGTAGTAGACCCTGTGGTTTATTGGTTTCTATGGATATGTTGTATCACTTTCATCGGTTGTCTTTTTTCGTCCTTAAACTACTTTTCATGATACATTTTGTCCCCAGGACGTAAAACCATTAAGTTGACCGTTTTTCCCTCATATTCTCTGTCACACCCCAAAACCGATAACGGCGGAATACGTTTCGGGGTGGATGACGTAGTGTACGGTATCATCACAATTGCATAATAGTAAAAGCAAGAAACATACAACCATTTCATTTACATAGTAAGTGTATTTACAAGTGTGTTTTGTAATGTTTGACAAACACCAAAAGTAAACAAAAATAAGAGATGGGTCTTGCATGCTCCATCTTCTCCAAAAATGTTGCAGTTGTACCTGTCTATCTTTGACCTGAAGATACAAGTTATTTTGAAAAGAATATCAGCATAAAGCTGGTGAGTTCATAAGAGCTTAGTGTGAGTTCTTATATAAAAAGCATTATAATCATTAGTATGAAAGCTGAAGTTTATAGTCATAAGTAGTGGTAAAACCTAGAAAATCCTATATTTTCCAGAAATGTATAGTAAGTGAAAACCTTTAAATAATATGATATTTACATCTTTGTAAACCATTTATCGTGGAGGTATAATAGTGACTCACCAATAAGTAAAGCAATATAGTAAGTTATACTTGAAGTAAATAATAGTGGTGCAGCTTCCTTTAGTATTAGATACTTATTTACTTCGGGATATTAACTTTATCTTTTGTTTAGTGTTTTAGTGCGGTTATAGTGTATTTCTTGCATGTTGCCAATAGTGTGAGTAATAGCGGACCTCCATGACCTTCCCGGTCATGTAGAGTGTAGTGGAGTAGAGGCATCCCTGGACCTATGCGGCTCGGACTGAAATTATCATTCGGGATGTAATAGCGTCTGCCCCGTATAGATCTATACATATAGTGTCGTCTTCCTATCGGAAGAAATTCGGGCGTAGTGTGTAGCGAATAGCGTATCTCGTAGTGGGTTAATGAATTATCTCATGATTAGTACTTTCTCTTGTAATATAGTGTAGTAGTCTTTTGTATAACTCGTATTGTAATTCTCTTATTAGTGTTTAGTTTTTGTAATAGGGAGAATTATAGTAGTGTAGAGTAGTAGTTAAAACGAGTGATAGAGACCTTAACTATACTTATTATAGTTAACTTAGTGTGTGTGGTTCTAGTCAGGATAGTGAGTTAGGCATCTAATGAAATAAGAAATGCTTGTAATCCATACTAATATACAAGATATATAACTAAGAGATCAACGACAGTCAGACAGATAACCACTACCCTAAGCCCACAATCAAACAAGAACAGGAAATAAGGCAGGCTATCGGTCCTAAGTCCTTCAAGTCTTACATATATAAATATATCAATGTGGTCACATTTTTATAAAGAGATTCATTAAATAAAAGTATTTTACAAAAGAAACATTTAGAACTCGTTTGTTCATCCAAAATAGTTTTGAAAACAAATGATTGATTTATGAGGCATAGTGATAAATCACATGTGATTTGAACTACAGGTAGTGAATCACATGTGATTAATTCTGTAATATGAAAAATTGTCTTGTATAACTTTTCGTAAACCTGTATATTCAACTTGTATCTCCCCCCTAAAACATATAAAACATTTGAAAGGTTCATTAAAGGGGTATGAACTCACCTGAATTCGCGTAAATCGGGTGAATCGGGTAAAAGTGTCGGTTGAGCGTTTTGTTCCAAATAATGACTTGTACACCTTTTAGGACCCTAATGTCATATGAAAATATGTGTTTTACAATAAATTAATCATTTTATGCTTTCCGTTTAAGTATTGAGGCATTCTAGCATCAATTCAGGGTTTTAGGGCCTAGAAGGGGTTCCCGAGAGTGGTTTAAGGTTAAGAAGGATTTACGGGAGGGTCTATGAGCTCACTCCCTTGGAGTTTACGGCCCAAAGGCCACTCCTTGGGAGTTTACGGCCGTAAGCCCCCTAGGCTTGGCCGTAAACTCATGTGGTCTTCCAAAATGCATGTTTAAGGCCTTATTTCACTTCCTTGATTTAATGGTATGTGTCTTGAACTAATATGGAGGGATTAAACCCTCATTTTGTGAAAATTTGGGGAGTTTACGTCCAAGACTTGTGCTTGGGCCGTAAACTCCATTTAATCCCTCAAAATGGATGTTTAAATGGTACAACACACTCTCACTCACCTTAGGTAAATTCTAGAAGGCCTTAGATGGAGTTTTGGGACATTTTGACATGAAAATTGGGGAGTTTACGGCCCAAGAATATCCTTGGCCATAAAATCTTCTTTTGGCCTCAAAATGGGAAGTTTAATGGTACAACACACATCCAAGGGCCTTAGCTAAATTCCTTACATGCATTAGATAAGTTTTGGGACTTGTTTGACACAAAAACTTGGGTGTTTACGACCGAAGCTTAGCCTTGGCCATAAACTCCTCTTTTTGTCCTCAAATGATGTTGTTTAATGCATTTAAACATTCCCTAGTGTCAAGACTAAATTACCAAACACCCTAGATGAGTTTTTGGGGCTTTTAACAAGGGTTTTTGGGGTGTTTACGGCCTAAGCATAAGCTTGGGCCGTAAACTCCTTTTTAAGCTTTAAATCCTTGTGTTTTAATGTCCAAACTCTCCTAGGTATATGTCTTAATTAGTCCATAAGCTTAAAGGAAGGAAAAATGAGGTTTTTGGCAAGTTTTTAGGGGTTTACGGCCTAAGGGGCTTCTTAGGCCGTAAACTCCTTTTTGGTCCTTGTTTTCTATGATTTTGGCCTCTAAATACAGTGAAGTATGTTTAGATTAAGATAGGGAATGAGTCCTTACGTTTGGAAGCCGGAAATTTCGCGGATTTGGGGTTGATTTCGGGTCTAGAGAGAGAAAGTAGTGAGAGAGAGGTGAAGGTGTGGTAAAAGAGTTCAATTGTAGTGTCCATTTGTTTATATATGTCTCGGGTATTGCACCCGATACACGGCTACTCGATGCTAAAGTTTAACGGGGTTAAAACTTTTTACCCGGGTGAAGTGGTTGAAAAGTAATATCTCTATTTAGTTAAACGGGGTTAACATTTACAAGTTATAATTACTTTTGATAATATCTGAACATATAAATAATTAGATATTCGTTTATTGACGACTCCAAACATTACCGAAAATAACATATAGTGACGCATTCCGTTAGTGAAAATAGGGTTTGTAACGGCAATATATTTGGGGTTGTCACATTCTCCATCTCGTTCATCTTTTTCTTCAAACTCCTAGAACCTAAGAATCAAATTCCCCAAAAATTGATGGCACTTGTTACTTTTGCAAAATGATATTTGGTGGTTTGGGTTTTGATTTATTGAGTTTGAGTTGTGTGTGTTTGTTGTTCAGATACCCGTGACAAATCAATCATACCCTTAACAGCAGCAGCAGCCAAATCTGTCAAGTCAAATGTATGTTCATCCTAGTCAAACATATGTTCAGCCAGCAAGAGCCTATCAAAGTACAGGTGCTCTTCATCAACCTATTTCCTCATTTCAGAATAAAGGATTGGGATTAGGTGTTGATCAAGAGCGTGAAGGGGAGCAGATTGATCGGGCTTTACTGAAGAATGTTCTAGATATATTTGTGGAGATAGGAATGGGACAAATGGAGTACTATGAGAATGATTTTGAAGCATCCATGCTTAATGATACAGCAACATATTATTCACGCAAGGCTTCCAACTGGATTCTAGAAGATTCTTGGTCAGATTATATGTTCAAAGTATACATCTAATACCCTTTTAGATCTTGAAAGTAAACTTATATCTAAAGATTATATTTTGTAAAATGCAAGAATCTTTTTGGGAATTTCAGGCAGAGGAGTGCTTAAAAAGAGAAAAGGACAGAGTGTCTCATTATCTTGATTCCAACAGTGAGCCAAAGCTTCTTGAGGTTTGTTTTATCATTTTTTATTTTAAAATTTTAGGAAAGGAAGTTATTTATTACTCAAAAACAGGACCATGATTTGATCTTGTTCTTGTTCTGATCTTCAGTCTTCCTATAGTTTCTTCATTATTAATTTTTCTGGAATCTTTTCTAGGTAGTCTTTGGTAATGGAACCGTGGACGTGGTGGTGGTGGTGATTATCGTGGTGGTGCCCCAGTCAACCAAACCCAAACCTTAATTTAGCTGGTGCTGGGCTTACCCCTGGGTAGATGAGAGTCAAAAAGATGTTTTTGCCCCTCTTTGTTATTGTGAATCTGATTTTTTTTGTGTAATTAGTGGTATTGGTGGAGCTGAAGGACCTGATCGTATATTTGTTGGGGGTTTACCGTATTACTTTACTGTGGTACATATAAGAGAGCTGCTAGAATCCTTTGGGTATGTAGTTTTATAATTTTATGATTTTTTTAAATATTTTTACAAAATGAAAGTTTAAGGAATTTTATTGATTCAGACCGCTGCGTAGGTTTGATCTTGTGAAGGATAGAGATACTGGAAACTCTAAAGGATATGGTTTATGTGTCTATGAGGTAATTATCACCCTTTTTTCTTTAAATTAAACAATATGAATCTGTAAATATTCTCAATTTTTAAACATTTTTGCACCTTGTCCTAAGTTAAGTTAAAAAAGAAGGGTGTTATTGTCAGTTATTCTTTCTTCCAATAAATATAAAATGTTTGGGAGTTATTTTCAGGATCAAGCAGCCACAGACGTTGCCTGTGCTGCACTTAATGGCTTAAAAATGGGGGATAAAACACTCACAGTCAGACGTGCAACCATCAGGTTTTTATTTAAAACATCATTTATTATTATTATTATTATTATTATTATTATTATTATTATTATTATTACTACTACTATTATTATTATTACTATTATTATTATTATTATTATTATTATTATTAATTTAAATTTTTCTCAATGCATGTGGGCTTTATTATTATGAACAAGTTTATGATAAATCTAATGTTTTTGGTGCTCTTTATTTTACTGCAACGGGCAGATGAAATCTAAACAGGAGACCATTATGGCCCAGGCTTAACAACATATAGCTATGTAGGGACTACAAAGTTTATTATTATTATTAATTATTATTATTATTATTTATGTACTTTCAATGCTTTGAAACTTCATGTTTTTATTTGTCGAAAATGGCCTTACAAGTTGGAGGGTTTAATCTTCCCGGATTACCTAGATTACCTGATGAGATTCCAACTAAAGTTTTGTGTTTAACTGAGGTACCATATGTTTTTTCTTTTTTAAAAAGAAAAAATGTAAATGATGTTTAAATAATATTTTTGAGAAAATGTTAGGAGTTGGTTAACGTGGAAAACCTCATTTTGAGAAATATGATATTTTTGAATAATTTTGGTAAACGCAAGCATGGTTTTTTTGGTGCAATGAAGGTGATCAATGCTGACAAATTGATGGATGATGGAGAATATGAAGAAATATTAGAGGATATGAGGGAAGAAGGACGAAAATTTGGTAAAAAAAAATACTCGAATCCTTTTCTATAATTTATGGAACATTTTATTCACTTCAGGGTTTTTTAAGGGCAGTGAGAGTAATTCTTGTCCAGATTTGGGTGAAGGTCTGGATGGTGGTCTGAATGGTGCATGTATCAAAGTGTGTATTCCAATATCAAGTTAATCTACTCGTATTTATTCATGTCTCAAAGTGTGTATTCCAATATCAGGTATCATGATTTATGTATTTACAAAATTTTGAAATAGGGTCTTGTTCAATGCTTTAGCTGTGTTTGCTCTAAGGGAGATCAACTTATCAAAAGTAAGTTATTCTTTTCACCCTTTTATTTAATATTTTTGTGATTGAATGAAAGTATTAATGAAAGTAATTGACAACCCTTTTTCTGTAAATGATGTTGTGATTGTGGGAGAGGTGTTGTGTTTTTCTCTGTTGCTAGGTAACCTTTTCAACAACAGCATTCTACTTAAGCAAGTGAGTAATCAAAGATTAAAGGAGACTTATAATCATGTTTGGCATTCCTTTCCAGTAAGAAACAGAGTTGTATGATTATTTGTTAGTTTTATAGGAATGTATAACAGATGTTAGAATGTTTTATTTTTGTTTAACATTTGAATGATTCTTTGTATGACATTATAATTTGTGTAATTTATTTTATTTTTTTAGTATGAAATTTTATTTTATATTATGCAATGGATTGTATTTTTTGTATATTGTATTTTATTTATATTATAAGAATTTAAATGCAAATTTAATTTAAAAACTAATAAATATATAAATTTATTTTTTTTAAACATTTAAATTTACGATACGCAAAAATGTGTGTCATCTTCATTTATGACATGATCTTTCTTGACAGGGGCTTTCTTGATACGCATTGCGTGTCATTAACACGTGCATCGTCTTCCTTTATGACAGGGCCTTCCTTGATACGCATTGTGTGTCGTAAACGCGCATCGTAATTGAGCGTCGTAAATGCGCGTCGTCTCTCTTTATGACAGGGCCTTCCTTGACGCCCATTTGCGCGTCGTAAAAGGCTGTTTTCTAGTAGTGCTAAGAACTTTTTTTGATTCCGTACGTAATATAACCTCTCGCTTTCAATCATAGTATAACCATCTACCAAAAACTGCTGGAAAAGCCTTTTTGAATTCAAAATCAATGAGAAAGAATTATCCCTGTCTTGAATTCTGTAAGCGAAAAATTCTCTCATTGTTGTGTTTTGACGCTTGCTATCGCTCGAAGACGTAACACCTCTATGAGGGATGTCAACTCTATAACCATCATCGCCATATGGAAATAGTAGAGGATACTGAAGAGGAAGGTAAGACGGGTGTAATTCACTGATACACTGTAGAGCTCCTGATGAAGTGTGTACAACGATGTCTCTGTTAACAATAAAATCACCAAAGTCACCCACAATTAAAGCAACGACTTCAGAAGCAGTCGGTAGGTTATACGTCCTTTCATCTTGTTGCCTTTTACCAATAATTCGTAACTTTAGGTCAGCATGAGGATCTGTATTAAAAACATCTCTAACGATCCTATAACACTTAACCAGTTCATTATTTGAATCCAACATAATCATCAAATCTTGTATAATTTGACGATCAATTGAATCATTAGACGATGTAGAGGCATGTTTTGTTCCACTACAAATAAAATCAATTATATATATAAATATATATATATATATATATATATATATATATATACTCTTATTATTTAGTAATTTAGTAAATATAGTTAAAGTGATAATATAAAGTAACACTAAAAGTCAATATATACCCAAAACATTTCTGTCTGTTTGAGGTTTCATTTTCGGTATTGTATATGTACAACTGATAAAATCTTGGTTGATCTCCATTTGCAGGTAGAAGGCTTCCAAGACTATGATAGTTTTGACCGCTAAGCCTATATACGTATGGTGCATTTCCTCTGTTAATGGATGAATCAACTTTCCCACCCATCGACGTAAATGAAAACATTGAATTGTAATGACGAATGTTTTTCATGAAGTATTTGCTTTTAGAATCTACAGCACAATAAAGTTGTTTGTAACTTTGTGGTGCTTCTTTTAAAGCAGGTAGTTCTACCTTCCCATAACCGCAACAGAGAGAAAAACTTGTAGTCCCTGTTTTTTGCCTCTTACAGATTCATCTTTCCATAATTTAGCATGACATATCTCGCAAACAACATTCTGATCACCATGATCTAAATAGGTTGTTAAATAAAACAATATTGAGAATTGTAAGTATACAAATATTGTAATTATTAGAAGGTTACAATCTTATAAGTGTTGCTTATTATAATTACCTATTGATATACCTGCATGTGTAGGTTGGAACATATCTCGACCATTATTATCATCTCTTGTTAGATCAAATATAGGTATATGAGATATATGTCTAGACTTCCTTTTTTACTTTATCACTGCAAAAGAAGGGTTGTTGGATGAATAACTGTAAGTGATTGCAGATGAATTAGTTGATTGTGTGACATTAGAAAATGTAGAATGATGTGTATTTTTTAGTAACGGTGTCGGACCATTATTACCATTGGTACAAAACGCTTTAAAAATTTAACTTATTAGTCATGTAGTTATTGTAAAGTAAAATAATATTGTATAATAAAGAGAATGGTGTATAAGATTTGAAATATTGGATATTGGCATCATAGAATTGATATTTAATGGAGATCACAAGGTCATACAATGGTAATGAGGAAGTTTATTGGAGTTGACATTTTATTAAAAAATATAGTAAGTATAATAAATAAAGTAAAAGTAGAAGAAATAATTACCGTTTTGGAGTGTGTTAACCAGTGGTGGTGCAGATGAACTTTGACTATTTGACATGGTAGATAAATATTTGGATTTTCTATTATCCAAGTATAATTTCTTTAATTTTCGTTTCTCCTTAGCAGAAGTAGAATTAAAGTTATTTTCATAACCTATAAAATAAAAAAATTAATTAAAATTTATTATATAATCTCTACGTTAAAAAATAAATCATGTAAGAATTAACATACTATTTATGATGATTTTTTTTACATACCTATATCTGTGGGTTGAACAACATCTTGACTGATATTATGATTCATATAATTATTGTAATGAAAAAAGTATGTTGTATGTATAATAACAAAAGAGTTATGCATACCATTTGATATATTGGATAGTGGAGTCCTACAATTGATATTTGCAGGAGATTGCATGGGATTACAAAATGCAGAGTATTGTATGTTATTTGATAACGATGTTCGACCATTATGCTGATTGCTAAAAAAAGCTGGAAAAAAAATTATAACTTATGATTTATATAATTATTGTAATGGAAAATAATATTGAATGTATAATTACAAAAGAGTTATGCATACCATTTGATATATTTGATAGTTGAGTCCTACAATTTATATTTTCCGGAGATTGCATTGGATTACAAAATGCAGAGTATTGTCGGTTATTTGATAACGGTGCTCGACCATTATGCTGATTGATAAAAAAAGCTGAAAAAAAATTATAACTTATGATTCATATAATTATTGTAATGGAAAAGAATATTGTATGTATAATAACAAAAAAAAGTTATATATACCATTTGATATATTGGATAGCGGAGTCCTACAATTTATATTTGCAGGAGATTGAAAGTTTGGAGAATTATATCGATGAAAGTTTTCAGAGTTGATGTATTCCTTGTGAGAAGAAATAGATGTGACTTTATTTGAAGAGTTTATATGTTGACGATGAGTGATGATATTGGCTACAAATAAGTATAAATGTAGTTAATATTGTAAAAATATATAACGACAAAGAAATTTAAAACTTGGTTGAAATATTTAATAAAAGGTATATGAAATAATTACCGTTCTCAGAAGTGTGAAAAAATTGTGCAGTAAATGAACTTTGACCCTTGGATATGATAGTTTTATTTTTAGCTTTTCGGTTATCCAAATATAATTTCCTTTTTTTTCTTCGCTCTTTAGCAAAAATAGAATCCATGCTATTTTATGAATCTGTATAACATAATTATTTAATATGATGAATTACAATAAATACATGCAAATACATATATCAATATCATAGTGTACATGATTTAAAAATATATATTTTTTTCAAATACCTATATTTAAAAAACAATATTTATAAAATCTGATGAATACAATAAATATAAGTATACAATTTTTTAATTTTAATATATTGTTTTTGTTGGTAAAAAAATCAGATTTTATTGTCCGATTGAAATACATAAAAGTGATGTTTCTATTAAGTAAAAAAATTAAAGTAATAGAAATCCCATTATAAGACCCACCACTCCCAAGTCCCACCCCTATACCTGTTCAGTAACATAAATCGCATATTATTGAAACCAATTAGAAGCCCTAGCTATCAACTTACACAAAATTCCGAATTTCGGCACCAGAAGCCACCTTTGTTGCATCTACATTTCTCAGATAAAGATTTATGTCTAGTTCGAAAATAGGTAAAGAGTTATCGTTTACACACTACCTACAACTATTTACTTGTTCTACACATAACCAAGTAAGCACAAAGAAATGATACACCTAAAGAGGGGGTAAAGTTTTACCGAAAAGTGAATGAAATGCAGGAGAAGCGAAACACACGTCGTATGGTGTTATTAAGTAGGATTTGATGGCGGGCTACCGACGTCGTATGGATGTGAACGGAGGTGAGGAGTTGGGACTTGGGAGACGACCAAAAATCAAGAACTTTGAAACGACGAATGGAGACAGCAAGATCAGTGATCGTGGAAGGCTGGTTGTGAAATAAAGCACGAGGTAGTTTCAAAACTTTCAACAAATATAAGTTTAATTTTTGAATTTCGAAATTTCTAAAAATTAGGGTATTTTAGTCCAAATTCATATAAGGAAAGGAGTTAATCAAATCAAGGTGTAAAGTTTTCTTTATTATGAATATTTTCAAAAATTACACTGTAAAGTGTTTTATTATAATGTAATGCCATTTTTATCAAGGCTCTGATACCAGTTTGGGTGTGTGATGTGTACGGAATTTGTTGTTTAACAAAGAAGGGAATAAATATAAAAATTGTGAAAGAAGACTCTTATATCAATAAATGTGTGATTGTAATGTAGTGAGTGATAAACTTACATAGATAGAAACTATTCAAGCCAGCCTGTGTCGTTCT